TGGGGTGAAGACACTGGCAGTAGAAAAATGACTGCTCTAACAGTGGTGGCACACAGAGCTGGGTCTGAAGTCAGCAGTGCTCAGCGGAAGAACCAGATGGTTTCAAACCATGGGCACAAGCTGCCAAGATGTTTGGAAACTCCTCCATCCTTTGGGTATTGTTTTCTTTTAATGAGTTGTTGCTGGTTCAGTCCATCCCATTGGGCAAATACAGGTACTAGCTGCCAAGGAGGGCAGGAGGTCACATCTGACAGCTTGGACAACCATTACCAAGCTGTTGTTTCAGGTAGACATCCTTTGGGACGGGCATTATTCAGCCCAAACTGGAGAGGTTGAGTGACACCTCCACCCCATCCCCTACCTCTTCTTCATTTTAGAAGCCAGCACGTAGTACACGTGCTTTTTGCTGATGCACGCAGATTCAAAACCCATCTATCGCGAGGTGGCTTCTGCCTAGATCCTCTCGTCTTCCTTTTTGATCTAAAGTTTACATACTAATGGAGAAGCCTCTGGCCTCTCTTATCCCCTGACCAGCAGTTCCCCTTCTTTTTTAATCGGGGCAGCAGATGGAGATAAGATTGCCTCAACCCTACACCCAGGAAGGCAGCGTTCCAGCAACAAAGAGGTGCAGCAGCTTCCCTTTTCTGCTGATATTTGGGCTCTTTTGGTGAGCTCCAAGTAAATATTGTTCTTCTGTTTTGCATTCTCAGGCTGGACTGTTATCAGCCACAGCCACCAAACGCCTCTCCAGCGCTGGAGGGAGGCTTGCAAGGAAAAAGCAGTATTTCTTCATTCCTTCCTAATAAGAATGTGCCTTTGAAATAGTTTTAGCCCCCTCTTTTTTTAAGTCTAAAGCATGCTTTTTAGGAAAAGAGGGACATTGAGCATTTATAAAAAAATATTATGAGCCTGATGATGTAGCACTGAGCCGTCTGGCTTGAAGGGAGGAAACTTGTCTGGTTTCCCATCTGGAGACACTAATTACAAACGGTTTGGATACAGAAATAAATTACCTGTATTTTTATATATTGACTCTTGTCTGGACACGCAATCGGAAGGGAGACGGTGGTGGAGGAGAGCTCCCATAGCATAGCGGCTTCCAGCAAGAAGAGCATGTCCAAAGCTCCCCAGGGACCTTCTTTCTGGGTCCATATTTCAGGTGCCCCAGAGACGCATGGATAATGCCCCATCATGACCACAAGACGGGGACATGAGGGCTCCCTCAACTCCTAGAAACCCACTGGAGCACCCTCAGGTCTGACAGCAGCCCTGCGGGAGGGTTCCCACGGGGCCAGAGGTGCCTCCTGAGCCTCTCCTGCCAACTTCTGCAAAGGTACTGGAGGCCATCCAAGGCTCTGCTTTGAAATCAGGACTTCCCTCGCATCAAGGCTCTGCTGATAGCAAAGCAGGCTTGCTCAGAGCGACCTTCAAGGACATGGAGAGTAATTGCCCCGGGGCTTGCCCTCGGGTCTGAACAGGAGGATCCCTGCATGACCTGCACCGCTAAGCTTTCTGCTCGGCTGCTGATAGCGGCATCAGGTCCCGCTTGCTCCCCATTTTCACCCTTTCCCCAGAACACCCCATCGTTTCCCAACTCCTCTCATCTCACGGTCAGGATTTGGACCAGCTCAGACTGTGTTTTACACTCTGGTGAGCTGCTATAATCCACACGGGCACACATCACCCGTGCAACCACCTACAGACTTGCACAGTCCCCACCCAAACCCACACTGCTCCACCAGGTGTTTGGGGAGGACTATTTGGACCCCAAACCTCTGAGCCTCAGTGTTTGCTCCTCAGCCAAACCCACCTGCCATTTAGCACCTTTTCCATTGCTCTCTCTCCCTTTTCGTTCTCCGAAGGAGATTCAGAGAGGAGGTTTTGTCATTCAGCTGAGGTTTGCATTGCACAGTCTAAATCAGAAAATGCCACCCTCAACCCTTGAAGCAGGGACAAGATTGGTAAGGAGTGAGCAAGCTCTTATAGCAAACCAGTTTTGCCCTACTTAACTGATGTTTTCTCACTACCTGCAGACAAGGAGACATCAGGAGGTGTGGAAACTCAGAAAAACATCCAGGTTTTGCTTAAATGCTGAGCAACAGCCTTACCCTAAACAACTTGAACTTCTAGCCAGTGAAACCTAAAGTTTCCCAGGTCCCTGGTGGAGACTTTTTTTATCCAGTTCTGGTTGGACACTTGGACAGCAAAAGACAGTAGGGAGACACAGGAATTTCCGTAAAATCACCCCTTTTCTTTGGCGGTGGCTCCAAACCCTCCTGGAAGAGACTTTTCAGCCCCAAACCCCCAGTGCTAATGGATCCCATGGAGCTGCAACACAGCACTGTGTGGGACACCGAGCCACCTCAGTCAAAGGGGACAGAAAGTGTCTTGGTCAAGAATAGGAGAAATGAATGAGCTGCCTTCAAAGATGGGTTATTTCTACTAGGTAATTTCATTATAGGCTAGTTGATGACAAGAACAAGGGAAGAAACAGCTCCTGAAATTCTGCTTTTGCATGGGTTACAGGCTTTGCATTTCACATTTGGCGTTCCTTCAGAGCTGGAGGACCTTCCCTGAGCCAGCATCCCTCCTGAGGAGCTCTGGCTCCAAGCTGTGAAATTCAAAGTGATGGGTCCCCAGGGTGTCCTTGCACCCAAGGAGCAAGGGACCAGGGATAATCAAGGAAGGCTGGGGTTTCCACATCTTATTTCTAGCCGAGGTCCTGCTTGCCAGCAACCAGCCAGCTCCCAGGGATTTTTGCAGGAGGTCAGAGGCAGAGCAGCCCAGAGCTAGGACCTGGGAGTTGCAGATCAGCAGCAACCTCCAGTGGCTGCAGCCAAACCCAGTGGAGATGTGGGGCCAAAACCTCTCTGCTGCAGCGATGCAAGGGGCTGGGTACGCCCCAGGGTGTCCCACAGCCACCCCACCCAAGGTCGTGGCCACCTTGGCATCAGCAGGCAATGGACCAGGGCTGGCCCATAGCAGCCCCTCACTGCTCCGAGCTGGGGGTCTCACCTGGCAGTGCCAGCCCTTCCCAGTCTTGCAGTTTCCAATATTTTCTTTTCCTCTGGGAGCCCCGGGACAACTCGTACAGCCCTCAGGAGAGCGTACGGACACCACTCACCAAATGGAGAAATAAAGCATTATCTGCCTGTCTATCACAGCTTTCTGCAGATACAAAACTGAGAAAATCACGCGTAAAAGTGAGTGATAGACCATCGGAAGGGACTGGCTCTCCCCAGGAGCTAGAGGAGGTGCAGATCCCTTAGCAGGTACTACTTTGGCCTTTTTAGGCAGCTTACAAAAAAAGGAAGAAAAAAAATAGTAAGAAAAAAAAGCATTGTATTTTCTGTCACGTTCTGGTGACTCCCCAGACCCCACAGAAAAATCCAGAAGCGGTTTGCAACTCACCAAAGGAGCATCTAACCGAGAGCTCTTGGCAACAGCAAATCTCCCACAGAGCTGCAGTTGTGCATCCTCCCAGGTCCCTGCTGCAAAGCTTGCAGACACTTTGTGCCACTCACATCACACCAACACATCTGCAAGGCTTTCCCCCAACTATGAAACACAGATAAAGGCACTTACCTGGGTGCTGTCACATATGAAATCACCCCAGAGCAGACTGCAAAAATTTGAGGATGCCAAGAGCAGCAGCTGGCAGGGGGTTGCTGTTATAACCCGCCCAGCAATCAAGAATGGAGAGTGAAACCTGTGAAGCTGCAATGGGCTGCAGCTGGGCAAGCCACAGCACCTGTGCCATGAGGTTATCCCGGTAGGAAAAGCCATGTGTGGGGAAAAAAGGCTCAGGGTCATGAATGGTAAGTCAGGCAAAGAGCCTGGGAACTGGCTGAGCTGAGCCAATGAGTCCCCAGGGCTGGGATAAGTCCCTCCGGCACAGCAGGGCCAAAACCCGTGGGGAAAAAAAAAGCTCCTGGGAGCCAGCACTCACCTGAAGGAACCCGGCACTGGGGGTCAGAAAGGGCAAAGAACCGTCTTTAACTCCATCAGCTTGGAGTGAACACAGTGCTTTTCCTACTTGCTGCAATTATCCTCCACCACAGTTGTTCTGCCGAGTCCAAAAGCCACCCACAGGCATCTCCCTTGCTCCTCCACTCCCCATAACACACTTCTCAAATCAACATGCGATACCAGATAGATTCCCCAGAGGAATTCCCAGAGGAACAGAGCGTGGCTGTGTTGTAAGGAGCGGGTTTAACTTTCAAAGAGTTAGAAACACAAGGGGAAGGGCTGAATAACTTTATGTAGTGGTCCCACCACCACCGTGAGCACCAGAGGTTTGCAGGGAGACTAAAGTAGGAAAGAGTTCTGTAAGGATTTACTTGAGGAGTTACAAGAGCAGTTGCTACCACCATAATAAGTTTCCGCAGGAAGAAGCACTGTTTTCTGCGAATGTGGCTTTAACAGCAGCTTCCACTCTCCCCGAGAGCAAAGCCACATTCCTCTCGTCTCCCACCTCATCCTTCCCTCCTTGCAAATGCCCCCCAGTTGCCATTGCCAGCTTGGGTTTGCCACCACAGCCCTCCACCACGGCAGGAGCCACATCTCAGCTGTGCCCCGAGGACACGTCCATTCACAGGGCAAGAGGAAAAGCGGAGAACGCTCATTCAGAGGGAAGCGTGGCCTCTCCCTCCTGCTCCTCCTCTCTTTGCTTGCCTTGTCCTTGAGGGCTCCACATTCTCAGCCACTATCTGCTGGCATGGTCCTATCACCAGGTGCTGTCCTTCGCGCCGGTTATAAAGGGACACAGCAGGCTCCCGGGGACACGTCCATTCACAGGGCAAGAGGAAAAGCGGAGAACGCTCATTCAGAGGGAAGCGTGGCCTCTCCCTCCCGCTCCTCCTCTCTTTGCTTGCCTTGTCCTTGAGGGCTCCACATTCTCAGCCACTATCTGCTGGCATGGTCCTATCACCAGGTGCTGTCCTTCGCGCCGGTTATAAAGGGACACAGCAGGCTCCCGGCAGCAGTCCCGCTCCCACACCATGCTGCTGGCCACCGTCAAGCTGTGCTGCGCCATCACCCACGACCACCTGCCCGGTAAGAACCGCTCGCCCTGGGGAAAAACAGGCAAAGAGGGTCCCAAAGGAGATGCATCCAGTGGGCAAGCCCTCAGGAGGTGCTCTTTTGGAAACGTCCCATCTCTGCAGACGATTTCGTTGTGCGTAGGGTGGTCTCGGTCGTAGCTTGGTCCAGCAGAGACGCGGGGCATCATGGCATCTTCCTCTCCCGCTCTGTGCTCACCAAAGCCTCTCGCCTAGGCTTGAAGGGAACAGCCATCGCAGCGATACAGAAGGACGCGAGAGGGCTGGTGGTGAGAGGATCCCGTCACCCGCCTTCCAAAATCCCTCGTTATATTCAGAGGCTGGTGGCGAAGAAGACAGGTAAGCTCAGCTCAGGCGCTCAGGTCCCACGTTTCCTCGCAACTTCCCTTGCAACACACGATGAGGGGCACGTATCAAAAGGCATTGCCCTCTCCGTGTGATTCGACCCGCGTTTTGGGGGACAGAATTGTCTTCTCGCTGCTGGGCTCCTGTCCAGCGGCTTGAAAGCATTCCCCACACCAACGGTGAACTGAGATTGCGGGGGGACCCTGAGATTCTGGGAAGGTAAAATGTATTGGCTCACCAAAGATTTTAGGAGGGGCTGCAAGCGCTTCTTGGTGTTTTGTTCCATCTGCTGCGTCTCTCATTCTACCACTTACCTAAAAGCCTTGAATATCAGCAAATTCATCCGCTTTTTTTGAAGCGTGGCTCAGTCCAAAGGCTGCCTAAGCAATGCTAACAATACTCAAGCAACACTCAATCTGTACCGTGGTGTTACTGCGAATTGGTTTGGCAAGCGACTTCAGAAAGCTTTCCAAGCACAGACACAGAGAATGAATACCGGGGACGCTCCTGAGAGCGCGGTTTTCTGCGCCGAGCCATCCCCCAGTGTCCAAGAGGGGACCGGTCGCGTAGTAAGAGCCCAGATTTTAGGCCAGCAACCCGCTGCCCTCCGTTTGCGCTTCTCTACCCACAGCCACAATCACAGGCAAAGCTGGGGGTGGCGGGGAGGAGATCTTTTCGCGTTGCTCTGCCTTGCCCCCCCAGCTGTGTGCCTGGACCCCAATGGAGACGTCGATCCCAGCCGCATCTCCAGTGTGGACCTCTCCTACATCGCCCAGGGGGAAACAGCCCTGCAGCGAGCGCTGAGCATCCTGCAACACCGCGCCAGCTGGCAAGAAGAAAGAATGCTGGTAAAGCCCGGCCACCCTCTTTGCTGCGTGCCGGAAAAGCCCCTCGGGAGGAGAAATGAGGCCTGGGAGGGGAAATTTTGCTTCTCTCATTCCTCCTGCTTGAAGGGAAACCACGAGCGTAGGAGACGGCGAGGAAAGCTCGGAAGGGGAAACTCAGATGATCACATGCCTGGGGAAAGTCAGGAGCACCTCTGCAGAAAAACCTGGCAGATTGCAACTTTGCTGTTATTTACGTTGTTTGTTCATTAAAGCTGTTTGCTGAATTGCTTAATTTAGCTAGAAAAGAGTTAAAAACATCCAAAAACACTCAGTCGTGTTGGCATGATTTAGATATAACCGCTTCCACCTGTAAACCAAGTGGCGATTAGAAAGAGGATGGTTTATTAATGAAGCATTTTGGCTCATAGCCGGCGCCTCTTGGGATGTCTGGAGTTGACGCAGGCTTCTCTGCTCTCCCAGGACACGAGGACCAAAATGTCCAGTGCTGCTCTCCCTGGGCTGGGCAAGGTTTTTCAGGCTGAGGTGGTCCTGGCTGTGCCAGTGGCTCGGCTGCACCGGGAGCTCTTTGAGAGGATCGAGCAAATGCCCCAGTGGAACCCGACGCTCAGCAGGGTGAAGGTGAGGTCAGGAGGGTTGCACCACAAGTGATGCCATCGTGGGGTTTGCTGTCATATTTATCAAGTTTTTTTGAGATTGCTGGAGGATTAAAGCTAACTCCACCCTCCTGCAAGAGCAGGATATCAGCCCTGGCGTAAGGGTAAGGTGTGCATTAACAGAAATGTGTCATCTTCATGCTCTCTTCTCTGCCTCTTCGCAGAGGTTTTTCCATGCTGGGCAACTCTGACATTGCTTAGACTTCGAGGTCAGGAAAGATGGTGCTCAGGGAAACCAGCTCAAAAAAAAAAGCAAATTAAAAAAAAAGCAAAATGAAATATATCCCACTGCGGGCTCACTGGCTCTGCTGCTGCCCAGCCTCTGCTTTGTATCTGCCTCTGCTTTGTATTTGCATCTGCCGCTTTGTAGCCCTTCAGAAAAAGGAACAGCACACAGAGAGCCCCATCCCAGATCAAAAAGGCTGCAAGAATCACCCACTTTCCCCTTTAATTAGGGTTTAATTATCACCAGATACAAGCCCCAAGCTGCTGCTGCTTCTTCCCATGATCTTGTCTTCAAGGCAGCTCAATGACCCCTGGGCAGGAGGAAGGGGGTGGTAGGGATGTCCCCAGAGGGACAGCCACAACGAGCCTAATTATCGTCGCTCCGGTAGGTGCTGCAGCAGGTCGGGACGGACACACTGGTGACGCACGAAGTGACGGCTCCCAGCCCGGGCAACTTGGTGGGACAGCGGGACTTTGTCAGCGTGCGGCATTGCGGGAGGAGGGACACGACCGTCTACCTGGTGCCCCGCCCGGAGCCGCTGCCCTTGCAGGATGGGTGCGTCAGGTAAAGCCTCCCTGGGATGCTCTGGGAGCTCCTTATCACCATTTTTAACTCCCCACACCCCCCTCTGATGGACCTTAACTGCCCTGCTTGTCCACCGCAGGGCTGAGTCTCGACTGAGCTGCATCATCCTGCAGCCGCTG